ACCCTTTCTGAAATCTCAACAGCGCCTCATAAATTCTGATGTTGGGATCCGAATTTACTCCCTACCTTGAAATATCATGCCATGAAGATCATTAATCTGCTATCTCCCCTTGTATTACATTTGCCAGAACCCTGTTAGTTGTAAGTTACCAAGACACCCCTTTTTTAACTTTTTGTGCTATATAAACCTTTTCTTCCCAGAGAGCTGGGCTGTCCTCAGGCCCTGAAATTTTGGCTGAGGAAGTAGCTGGTCAGCTCTCTTTGTGTACAAATATAAACTTGATTTGATTTGGCTTAAAATTGGAGTTGGTGGTCTTTTCTTTGCATAGTGGTTCAACAATAGCATCAGATGTGTCTGTTTCTAGTGTATCTTATTCATTTTATATACATATGTGTGCTCCAAATCACATAGTTATAATTACAAAGCCTTAGAACTATAAATATTTTTATTTAAAAAAAAACTTTTAGGGCTGGGGTTGTGGCTCAGCGGTAGGTAGAGCTCTCGCCTAGCACATGTGAGGCACTGGGTTCCTCAGCACCACATAAAAATAAATAAACAAAATAAAGATATTGTGTCCATCTATAACTAAAAATATTATAAATTTTTTTTTAAAAAAAGGAAAATTGGGGGCTGGGGATGTGGCTCAAGCGGTAGCACGCTCGCCTGGCATGCGTGCGGCCCGGGTTCGATCCTCAGCACCACATACAAACAAAGACGTTGTGTCCGCCGAAAACTAAAAAATAAAAAAATATTAAGATTCTCGGGCTGGGGACATAGCTCAGTTGGTAGAGTGCTTACCTTTCATGCACAAGGCCCTGGGTTCAATCCCCAGCACCACAAAAAAAAAAAAAAAGGAAAATTTGGTTACTTTTTATTTGAAATTAATTTAAAGTCGTTGTAGGATCATTTTTATATTGTGGGATTCAAATTGTGACTTATTAAAATTGTCTTAAGTCAGTTGATATCAATTTAAGTTGGTATGTTTACACTGAAAAAAAAATTTTTACTGTATTTTCTTGTAGTAATTGGCTTTGAGTTGATAATGAGTGTATGTTTATAAAGTGCATATGGTAACTTGATATTGTGAAACAGCTTTAGATATTTTTGAGATATTTTCTTCTATAAACTATTTTTGTGCTTTTTTTTCTTACAAATGCCACCACTTAGGATTATTATAGTGTGAAGATTATTCTTACAATATGTGGCATAGTGTAGATAAGTCATGTATATTTTAAAATATTATCGGTATAATTCCCAGTCTCATTATTTTACTGAAGGTGAATATTAAAACTTTTCTTTTTTTTTTTGTAGTTGGACACAATACCTTTATGCAGGGTTTCTGTATGCTACTAAAAGGCTCAGGGGTTACTCCAGTTGAACTGGGCTGACTGGGCTGTGTGAAATAACCACACAAGAGACACAAATACCTTTTCCTTTGGGGTCGCTGTGACGGCTCCTCTGACCTTAAGGGTCCGCAGGAAGAGAGAGCGGGAGAGTACATGCTGACCCCTTATATTGAGGAGAAGCCATTCAAATGAGGCAAGGGGTCAGGTTTCAGGGAGCTGAGTCTAGCTAAATGATGTCCACTGTCAGCAGGTTGACTGACATCTGGGTAGGCCACACCCAAGGGCATAGTAAGAGAAGGGGACACACACAAGGCACTTCCATGGAAGATTCTATCCTAAACAGGGCAAGGAGTGATATTACAAAGGAACAGGTGAGCGTAGTTCCACCCATGGGGCTGTAGCAAGACACGCCCCCCCACACGAAAACACAGTCACTAGAACCCTAGAAGGGTGAGGCAGTCTAGCAGCTTGGGTGCCTGACACCACATCTCCCGGCAGGGGAATTAACTCAGTCATGAGGTTGGTCTCCCACACCTTTATTTATTTATTTTTATGCAGTGCTGAGGATTGAACTCAGGGCCTTGCATGTGCTAGGTGAGCGCTCTACCCCTGAGCCACAACCACAGCCCCTTAAAACTTTTCTATTAGGAAAAAAAGTACCATAATTATAGCTTCTTTTTCAGGCATGTGACATGAACTGCATTTATTCACATGTGACATGAACTACATTTAGTCACATTCGCTTTTTCTTTCTTTCTTTCTTTCTTTTGTTGAGGTCTTGCTGCATTGCCCAGGCTAGTCTTCAACCTGGGCTCCAGAGGATCCTTCAGCCTCAGCTTCTGGAGTAGTGGGAGACTACAGGCCTGCTCACACATTAACTTTTTATTATATCTTTGTAAAGTTGGCCTTATTTCTTTGGGATAGCCTCTTATCCTTTCTTTTCCATAATGTTCTTGGGAAAAAAGAATGAGCAAATTAGTAGCTGGGCATGCTGGTACATGCCTGTAATCCCAGCGGCTTGTAAATCTTGAGGATTGCGAATTCAAAGCTAGCCTTAGCAATCTAGGGAGGTCTTAAGCAACTTAATGAGACCCTGTCTCAAAATAAGAAATAAAAAGGGTTTGGGATATGGCTCAGTGGTTAAGCACCTCTGGGTTCAATCCCTGGTACCAAAAAAAAAAAAAAAAAAAAAGAGGAGGAGGAGGGAGAGGAGGGGGAGGAGGAGAAGAAAAAGAAAAGAAGCAGCAGCAGCAAATTAACATTTAGGTTCCTACTAGGTCCTGACTGTAATGTACTTTGGAGTGTTTTCTCATTTAATTCCCGCAGCCATACCCAGACAGGTTATATAGTCCATATTTTACTTAAGAAAACTGAAGGAAGAATACAGAGAAATAACTCAGCATGACTAGCAGCTGAAAGGGGTTGAGGATTGTACCTAAATTGATGCTGCATGAGTCGAAGCCTTGTTAAACTATATCTGGGATGTGTTCAGGCCATAGTCTCTGGCCTCACACATGTGGCCGGCGAACTTCCATACTTTTGAGCTCTGGCTGAGGTGAAATCCAGTCCCTTCCCCTACTCCCAGCTAATTATATCAGCAGTGTGGGAAGCAGGACCTACCACTGCCAACGCACTCCCTTCCTCTCCCTCTAGGTGGAACTCTAAGCACTTCCCATTGGAACCACAGCTCTGCCCAGGTTCTGCCCCTTGTGTCTATTGCTCCTCAACAGCAAACACTCTTAGCAAACAATACTTTGAGTATTTCACTCCCCTAAGCTCAAAGTCCTTAACTCTAAAAAATGTTTACATTAGGGCCAGACACAGTAGCACACACCTGTAATACCAGCTACTTGGGAGGCTGAAGAAGTAGGATCATAAATTCAAGGCCAACTGGGCAACTCAGTGAGATCCTGCCTCAAAATGAAAACTAAAGCACGCTAGGGAATAGCTTGGTAGAGCACCCCAGGATTCAATCCCCAGTAACAGGAAAAAAAAAATCTGTGCTGGCAGAAGAGGGTATAGATCATTGTTAAAGCCCTTGCCTAAAATGCATAAGGCCTTGAGTTTGATACACAGTACTGCCAAAAGAAAAAAAACGGTTTATGCTATAATGGGGAAAAAAATCAAAATATAAAAGTGTTTAGGGCTGGGGGTGTAGCTTGGTGGTACAGCACTTGCCTAGCAAGCATGAGGCACTGGGTTCAATCCCCAGCACTACAAAAAAAGAAAACAGAAAGAAAAAAAGAAGTGTGGAGATAGTGTAAATGATTGTTCTGTAACTAATAGAGCACTTGTTCTATTTTTTAGAATATTTATTTTTTAGTTTTTGGCCGACACAACATCTTTGTATGTGGTGCTGAGGATCAAACCCGGGCCACATGCATGCCAGGTGAGCGCTCTACCGCTTGAGCCACATCCCCAGCCCGTAGCCCCTGGTTTCAATCCGCACTACCTTAAGCAAACAAAATTCCCAGAGATCCACCATCAAGCTGGCACATTTTGTTGACTGTACACACTATCCTAAAACATTGACTACTTTGTTTATAGCCAATAAACCAATATATTTATAGCCAATGTAAATTCAATGCAAACAATTTAAGCTTTCTTTCCCACAAATTTTCATTATAAAACACTCTGACTTTTTAGATCCAGGAGACATATTTCCAGGTACTACCTAGTCTTGCTGCTGGTGACTGTCCCAGGATGGAAGTTTTCTTCTGGCTACCATAAACCTTTTATTTCAGGAATCTCTTGGTCTTGAACTTGGTTTAACAGGTGGAAGCCACTGCTGTGAAGAACCCTTACCTAAATTTTCTGAGCTCTCATCTATATCATCTGTTAAGTCCTCACAACGAACTATGAGGTTGGTTAAGAAACAGGATCACAATCATGGCGTGTGGGCCACACCTGTAATCCCACAGATTTAGGAGGTTGAGGCAGGAGGATTGCAGGTCCGAGACCAGGCTTGTCTCAAAATTTAAAAAGCTAGTGATGTAGCTCAGTGATAAAGCTCCCGTCCCTGGGTTTACTCTACAATACCACCACCAACAACAACAACAACAAAAACCCACCAAAAATGGGAATCACAGATAGTGCCTTTGGTCACTGTTATTATATAGAGGACCCAAGATTAGAATTTATGGTTTACTCAGGGTCTGTTCCTTTGAAAACTATGGCCGTGTTGTTCTCTCTCTTGTCTGACCACAAGATAAAATTTCAAATTGTGCTGAGGTCGCATTAACTTCTTACCGAGTGCTCCTACAAGACTTTGTAATACATACTGTAAGCAACTAGGAAACAATAATTATTACATTAGTATTTCCGTGTGTTGGTAGTGGAAGGCACTCACTAGAAACTGGTTTACTGAATGTAACCAATTTAGAATTGGACATACGATGCCCAGATCTTAAGAGGCGCTGTCCCCGTACAAGGAGCAGATTAATCCGTGTGACTAAGACTACACTCTAGAGACCAAAAGGCTCCTTCGCACCCGAAGGTGGACCAGCTCCACCCTCGGCGCATGCGCAGTGCTCTCTGGCCTGGCCCCGCCCCGTCTTAGCCGGACTCGCGCCTCTGTCCAGGTAGGAGGCGGTATGCTGGGGAAGAGCGTCACCTGAGGGCAGGGCGGGAGGGAGAATCTTCGTTCTTGGGTCCCCATTGTTGGCGAACCCTAACTTTTGATAGAACCCGGAGTTGCTCCTGCGGCTGCCCCTTCCGGGGTGGGGAAAAGTTCCAGGGTCTGGGGGCTGCCGAGACGCTAGCGCGCCCTCTTTATACTGTCAGTCTCTCCTGCTGCTGCACCCGGCCCGGTGGTTCCCAGCCCCGGAGTCGGGTGTCCTAGGTAGCTTGAGGACACTGGAGCTGGGCAGTTGCCGACAGCCCGCCGCTTCTGCCCTCCCCGTCCTCGCCGCTTGGCGCCCCTGCCAGGCCGATCTTCTGACTGCCAGAGCTAGGGGCCTCCGGAGACTACGTGCGGCCGCCGGCTCAGCTCGCGCCCACGCCTTCTGCTCCACTAGCCGCCTTAGCCGAGCGGAAAAGCCGGGATACATTGCCTGCCCGGGAGGCAGGGCGCTCCAGTACCCCACCCCGGAGCTTGGCGGTGCATCTTTCCGCCCACAGACCGCTAAGATCCCCTGCAAATCCCAGCCAGACGGAAGCCCGAACTGACGTTGCAGGGTAATGGGGACCCATCAAGACCTCAGTCCTCCGTGGGGTTTTCTGCGTGACACTGTGGGGCGAACTAGAGGGATTCTTCTGCTTGAAATTCTGCAACTACAGGAGTCCCCTATTATCCATGCTTTTGCTTTTCATTTTGCAGTTAACTGAAGTCAGCCGCAGTGGGAAAATATTAAATGGAAAATTCAGAAAACGATTCATAAGTTTTAAGTTTTTATTCTAGTATATTGTTAGAATTGTTTTATTTTTGTTAATATCTTACTGCATCTAACAAATTAAACTTTATCATAGATATGTCTAAGAAAGAGGGGAGGGAAGTGTCTAGGAATGTATCTCCTGAGGATAAGGGGGGGACTATTGTGTTAGGACACAGTTGGGCTCCATTGTGTGCTAAGCATTGGGTGAGGTCTGCTCTAGAAGGCTTGAAAGTGGGGTTCTTGGGGGTATGTCTGATTGGAGGAGAAGAGAGAGAAAGCAGAAACTAATCTAGCACCTATTGCAGTGCTTGGCAACCAGTAAGCCCTCACTGAACCATTCTGACTGAGGGAGCAGGGGTAGAGAGGGCGGCTCTGTTCATCCTGCCCTTGACTCCCTTGGGTTCCTGCAGACAAAAGTAATTAGGTTGAGCCTTTAATCACAGCTGGTTGCACAGGCAAGCTGACAAGGAAAAGGAGGGAAAGACAGAAATTCTGAGGACACAGGGTGCTGGCTTGGTTCACAGGCATGCCTCCCTCTGGGACCCTCCCACTCCGGCAGTTTGGGACTCAGTAATCTGTTTTCTTGTCTCCCTCAGGACACTGGGTTCCCTAGGAGCCGCCCCAGGCTTAATGATTGTCCAGAAGGCAGCTATAAAGGGAGCCTAGCAGGCTGGGTGGAGGAGGGAACAGAGAAAAACCAACTCAGCAAATCTGAGCACTGAGAGCTACAAGTAGGAGCTGTGATAAGAGGCTGCGTCCTGGCCTGCAGGGACTGCTCTTTTCTACCATGGCACCCCAAAGCTATGGCTATTACCGCACTGTGATCTTCTCAGCCATGTTTGGGGGCTACAGCCTATACTACTTCAACCGCAAGACCTTCTCCTTTGTCATGCCATCATTGGTGGAAGAGATCCCTCTGGACAAGGATGATTTGGGTGAGCCCTGGAAGGACAGGGTGGTGGGCTGGGGACACAAAACCAACAGGGCACATAATTAGTGACAGTGCAACATGTACAGGCTTGTATGGAGTGTGTGTGTGTGTGGGTGTTCTGCACAGCAGGGCTGGGGGCAGTGGGCATGTGCCAGATGAAAGGACTCTGAGGTCTGTGTACATAGTGTGGGTAAAGGTATATGAATGCCTGTAACCCAAATGTGCCTTCAGAGGTACTGTTTGAGTGTTTGGGGGTTCTAAGCAAGGTTTCCACACCTGTGTGGATGCAGAGGCTGCAGCTTGAGTTCTGGCTACTGATACTGAGCACTGGGAAGCTGGCTCAGTGATTTCCTGTGGCCTGGCATGTGGCAAGGTTCTTGACTCTAATCCTGAACCCATCACCCAGTGTTCAGAGGTGGGGCAACACTGCTAGAGGACTTAGGTTAGCATTTGGGTCAGGAGGGAAATCAGGCATATGCAGACCCCTGGGAGGGGAGATGCTTCCTTCTTGTTCCCTGACAGCTGCAGCTAGAACTAACTCTACAAGAGGCTGAGAAGTCATGGGTCAGCCTGGGGCTAGTGATATTGGTTGGGCAGGCAGAAGAGGTAGCAGACACAGCTGTCTCCTTGAGTGTCAAGATCACAGCGCAGTTCCTCCTGTTCCTCTGGGAAAGAACCTGTCTCACCCTGCTGGGCACCTCTATACACCTGACCCCATGCCTTCCTCCATCCCTCCTGTGCCTCTGCTCTGCCCTAACCCCCCAGGTGTCCTGCTCCCTGCTCCCCTCCGCTGCAGGGCTCATCACCAGCAGCCAGTCAGCAGCCTATGCCATCAGCAAGTTTGTGAGTGGGGTGCTGTCCGACCAGATGAGTGCTCGCTGGCTCTTCTCCTCTGGGCTGCTCCTGGTTGGCCTGGTCAACGTAGTCTTTTCCTGGAGCTCCACAGTACCTGTCTTTGCTGCACTCTGGTTCCTTAATGGCCTGGCACAGGGGCTGGGTTGGCCCCCTTGTGGGAAGATCCTACGGAAGGTGAGTGCTTCCACTGAGCCTGTGTGGACTGGCATACAGGATCCTAAAGGGCATATGGGAACACCCCTTCGCCCCTAACCCATGGCAGATTCCTTAGGAGTTCCCAGCCAGCTCCTCTTGCTTGTCAAGATATTTTAGGAGATTGGTGGGATCAGGTGGCAGATGAAGGAATTGGCCCTGCCAAGCAGAAGCACCCTCTCCCTCATCCCTGTAATATGAGCTTCTGGGCCTGCCCCACCTGAGTCCCACCATCAACATGAGCTATAGGTCAGGCACCTATTCTGCCCTCCTCTGCCTCACAGTGGTTTGAGCCATCTCAGTTTGGCACTTGGTGGGCCATCCTGTCAACCAGCATGAACCTGGCTGGAGGGCTGGGCCCTATCCTGGCAACCATCCTCGCCCAGAGCTACAGCTGGCGCAGCACACTGGCCCTGTCTGGGGTACTGTGTGTGGTTGTCTCCTTCCTCTGTCTCCTGCTCATCCACAATGAACCTGCTGATGTTGGCCTCCGTAACCTGGACCCTACCCCCTCCAAGGGCAAGAAGGGTGAGCCTGCACCCACCCAAGCCAACCACTGGGCACCTTTATTCACCATTCACTTGGCAGAACTTTGTGAGGACTAGTCTTAGGCCTCATCCTGTGCTAGCCAATGGAGTAGGGAATGGGTGGCAATGGAGGTTTGGTGGGGAATAACTAAAACTCTGTCCGGAGAGGCAGAGTCAACAGATATGGTAACTCATATTAATTCTGGTACTTCTGCACAACACCACAGCTTTCCCTATCATGGTTAGTATCCTCAGTTTAAGTGGTTTGGGTGCCTTCCTCCATCTGCCACAATCCTCAGTTTCTCTTTCATTTGTTGAGACTTGCAGCGGAGTCAGGGACAGAACAGCAGGGGCTTAAAGGGAATACCATTCACTGATTCTGTGGTGCCCATGGACTCTGCTCCTGTGGCTGGTTAATGAGTGGTGGTGGTGCAGTGGGGGCAAGACAGCAGGAGCAGAGCCTGAGGCCTGGCTTCTTCCCATCTTTAGGCTCCTCGAAGGAGGAGAGTACCCTACAGGAGCTGCTGCTGTCCCCCTATCTGTGGGTGCTCTCCGCTGGCTACCTTGTGGTGTTTGGAGTAAAGACCTGCTGTACAGACTGGGGCCAGTTCTTCCTTATTCAGGAGAAAGGACAGTCCGCCCTTGTGGGTAAGATGAGCGTTGGGATGGGGATGGGCATTCAGGAGCAGGAACCAATGCAGAAGACGGGAAATCTAGGCTCTACTTGCCTTTACCCTCTTTATTCTTTCCCTGAGGCTGGGCACCACTCTGGCAGCTATGGTTGATAACTCCTCAGGGACTCTTTATGTACCCTCTGGGTTAAGCCATTATAGTATAAATGTTTAACCCCTTTCCACCCCTCTTTTTCCACAACTCTCCCTATAGGTAGCTCCTATGTGAGTGCCCTGGAGGTTGGGGGCCTTATAGGCAGCATTGCAGCTGGCTACCTGTCAGACAGGGCAATGGCAAAGGTGAGTGGGCAGAAGGGACAGGAAGAAGGGTCCTTTTGAGTCTTCCCTGTGTGGCCGGGATAGGATGCCCTGGGATACAGGCTGGCTGGCATATGCTGGTTTGGGTTGGGTAAAAATGATTCCAGGTTATCCTTCTCTAGGGATGTGGAGATAAGGCTGAAGGGAAAAGGGTTTTAATTGATGCCAGAGAACTGGAATCTCTTTCAGTCTAGCTATAGGCTTCTCCACTGCTACAGGAAAACTGGGGGCAGGGGTGGACTGGGTGCAGCTTCCCAGCACGTGTCCTGTGCCTGCCCAACGGTGGAGGAAGGGATGGAATTTGGCCTCAGAACATAAATGAGCAAGTCCTAGGGCCTCTCAGAGCTGCCTGAGGCCAAGAACTGTGATGGTATTGCCAAAGAGCTGCCAGCAGAGGCCCTGTTGTGTCAGAGTCCAGGATGGGGGTGCTCTGCCCTGCTTTGAGGGCCTGACATCACTGTGACTGTATCCACAGGCGGGGCTGTCTGTCTACGGGAACCCTCGCCACAGCCTGTTGCTGTTCATGATGGCTGGCATGACAGTGTCAATGTACCTCTTCCGGGTTACAGTGACCAGTGACTCCCCCAAGGTAAATGGGGGGAGAGATGGGTGGAGCCAGGGTACAAGGAGAGAAAGCTCTCTCCCTCTCTCTGGCTCCAGCAGGGGCCAACCCATTCTCTGCTTCTGATTTTCATTTTCAGTTCTGTTTATACCTCAGTTCTCCTCTGTACTTTGGGTCCCCTCCTCCACTCTGGGCCTGGTTTTCTTCTGCTTCTAGGATGTTGCTTTCTGGACTCCGGCTCTCCACCCTCTTGCTGAGCTCACAGGCTTTACAGAGCAGGAGGTGCCTTAAGATATCTGTTTTCTTTTTCTCCTGGTCTGTCTCACCTTTGTCCTGTCCCTCTGCCTTGCCCCTTACCAATCCAGCTTGCATAAATTCTGAAAAAGTCAGCGTTCCAACTTGGAGGGATGACTTCTGTTCCACTTTCCTTTACCCACCTAAGCTCTTAGGTTTGCTTAGTATGGCATCTGTCACTCTGGCTCTGTATTGTCAGTTGTACTGGAGAGTGTGTGAGGAGGGTCACTTACTGACCCTTCATACTGCTTGTTCCTGAGAGTCAAGCATTTTGTCTGTCTTCTGGCAGGGGTGGGCAGGTAGTTAGGCAGCTTTCTGACTCATGCACTCCACTCTACCCTTGCAGATCTGGATCCTGGTGTTGGGAGCTGTTTTTGGTTTCTCCTCTTATGGTCCTATTGCTTTGTTTGGAGTCATAGCCAATGAGAGTGCCCCTCCCAATTTGTGTGGCACCTCTCATGCTATTGTGGGACTCATGGCCAATGGTAAGTGATACCTTCTAGAATATATCTGCCTTGCCCCTGTTGTGCCTTGCACACAGGCCTGCTAGAGACAGGAGGCAGCCCATAGGCTTTTCCCTCCTCTCTGACAGTGGGCGGCTTTCTGGCTGGGCTACCATTCAGCACCATTGCCAAGCACTACAGTTGGAGCACAGCCTTCTGGGTAGCTGAAATGATTTGTACAGCCAGCACAGCTGTGTTCTTCCTGCTCCGAAACATCCGCACCAAGATGGGCCGAGTGCCCAAGAAAGCTGAGTGAAGACTGCAGGCTCTGGAGTACCCTCTCACCTACCGTCTCCCTTTGCACACAGTGGGGTGCAGAAAGGGAGTGTTCCCTCTGGCTAGCACTCAAGCTTTGATGTTCTGTTTCGGCGCCTTCTCTCATTCAGGTGGCACTGGAAGTTATCAGTAGCTAATGAGGTCCCTGTTCCTCATCCTATGCTCTATTTAAAAGATAACCTTTGTTCTTGGACTCCTTAGCTCCTATTTCCTGCTTTCAGAGGAATAGGTAACTCCTGCAGTCGGGGTATGTACTGTACCCTTCTTCTTCTCCTGGGCCCTACCCTACCTATTCCCACCTACCTATTCCCTGAAGCTGCAAGGCACCAATAACCTGTGACTTCTCTGCCCTAAGGCCTCTCAGCAGTGGGCAGTAGCTATTACCAATACCTCAAGTCCCCAGTGGAAGAGAGAAGGCCACCATTCTCATCAACAGCTTGAGTACAGTACAGGGTATGGATGGAAGGAGAAGGTGACTTGTAGATTAAAACTAGATTTGATACTGAAGAGTTAACTCATTCTTTCAAAAGGGCTAATAATAGAAGCTAGAGGTGGTTTTCCTTGGAAAATTACTCATCAGTATGTGCTCTTTCCATCCCAAAGGGAAAGATGTTCATTTCCTTGGAGTGGGAATGCTGAAGCACAGATAGATACCATTAAGCTGATGTGTCTGATGCCTTCAGTTGGAACACTGTGTAATTTAATAATCATTTTAGAGATGAAGCTGGTGGTTCAGGCAGGCTATATACCTTGATGGAGGGGTCAGTATGACAGTGTTTCACTGATAGTTCTGGGACTAGAATTAGGGCTCATGATTCAAGGTGTTGTATTCAACATGTTTTAATTTCTGCCGAAATATAGTATTTCAACTTCCCAGAATTCCTTTACCATTTCTGTCTCCTTTCGCCCTTCCCACAAGACCAAGGACAGCAAACACTGGATCAAAGGAATGTTTTATTATAGCATTCATGGGCCTACCTCCTCCATAAATAAATCTGTACAGAGTTGGGAAGTAGGACCATGACATCTACAGAAAGGAAGAAAGCATACTATTAAAGCTCAGGGATCAGGACAAGATATCAGTATCCTTCCATTTTCAAGTACACTAACAAGGCTGCTGGGATCTCCAATGGAGTGGAAACAATAGAACCCATGCTGCACGATCTCTCAGAATTTGGGAGTCCACTGTAGATTTAATTTATGACCCAGGTCCAAAAGTCCCAGCTTTCTCTGCCACTTCCAAAGCTAGCTTCAGGTTCTGGTCAAACAGCTCACACCTAGGTCAGACCCAGGAAACGCAAATAAGAAAACACTGTGAAGCTCTTTCCCCACTTCAAATATAGAAGCAGAATCAGTGAAAACTCCACCTGCAGGACATGAACCCAAGGAAAACTTGGATTTTCAAAAGGCTAGTTACTGTTGTCTTATTTAAAAGTAATATTCTGCTATACTTCAAAAGACTTTGGGTAGAGCACAAGGCTTTGACCAGTATCTGGCGAGTGAGGCCACTTACCTGATGGGCATTTCCAGGGAGTAGAATGGATTCTTGAGTGCAAAATCTGAGTAAATTTCATAAATTTTTCGAAGAAGAGAATCTATTCCAGCTTGCCTAGGATCTGCCAGCACCACAAACTTGATCCCTGGAGAGAAACCAGGAATGGTTACCCAAGGGTAGAGAACATAGCAATCATCATTCTGTATTTTTACAGCACTTTCAATTTTATAAACTACTGTCACAAGCCCATTTTATGGTTGTTGCCACAAAAAGCAGAAAAGGCAAAATTGTGCATCTATAGAAGGGACCAGAGAATGTGACTTTATTATGTCACCAGGTAAATGAGAGACCAAGATTTGAGGTCAAGTTCTGCCACTTCCTTCCAGTCTTGGAATCCTTCTAGAGAAACAGTGTCATGCGGAGGACAAACTGTATTAAGTAAGTGAAGGAAAGGCATGATCCAAAGACCATTTTCATTTGATTTTTATATTTCATTTTGGAACAATACACCTTCCAAAATGGGTGTAACATGACATTCAGGTGATTTATCTGAACCAGAGCTGAGCATGCCAGATGATGTAAACAAAATAAGCCTCAGATTACATATTGGCTTTGGATTCTCAAAACTAATACATAGATGTATGTGTACCACTGTCCCCAGAAAACTGAACACCACCCTTATCCTTGCTTACCAAAGCTGTCTTTGATCAATCCCTTGGCCCTGCCTGTCCCATCTATCCGACTGGACTATCTGGAGACACATACCTGTTAGTGTCTGGAAGCAGTGCAGTTTGAAAGTGTCTGTCTCCAGCATCTCAATGCCTGAGCTTCCCTGTTCGGGAGACAGCTGGGAGCCAATGGCAAAAAGCCTATATGCAAAGGAGGCAAAGTTGGGAATTCCCCCAAGGCTGTGAGGGAGGCGTGCTTCTCAAACTTTATCTGCTGAGGAGTTCACTTTACAGCTCAGGAGAAGTGCCTGGCAGCAGTGTCAAAATTTCTTTTAAGTTAATTTGTCTTCTGCGAATATTTTATTGTTTCCTTGCTCACACTGGGGACTTAACCCCAGGGGTGCTCTCCACTGAACAACACTCCCAGTCCTTTTTTATTTTTGAGACAGGATATCACCAAGTTGCTGAGGCTGGTCTGGAACCTGCAATCTTCTTGCCTCAGCCTCCCTAGCAGCATGGTGCACACAAGCATGTGCATTCATGCCCAACTTACATTACATATTGTACTATAAACACTTACATTGAAAACTGGGGGTAAAAGAAACACTGGGGAATATGTACATACTTGCTTAGCTGGTGGGTAGGCCCAAGTCAGCTCATTTCATACAGCTGAGAGCAAGATTTTTAAAGGTAATTTAATTCAATTGCCTTACAGATGAGGAAACAAGGCTTACAAAAGAGAAACTGACTTAGGCAAGATCACATCACTATATTACTAAAACCTAGACATACTGGATCAGTTTCCTTTCCATAACACAAGAACCTGTGACTTATGAGGAGGAGGTATAGAAAGATTAGCACTGCTGCCCAGAAGTGCCCACAGAACCACACACCAGCCAGTGTACAGCTAGATGCAGGCCAACCCACTAGGAAGGGTTGAGGTAACTTACGAGTGGAACATGGAGGCCAGCATAAGCTTCTCATTGGAGGTGAGGCGGGGCCGACCGAACCGAATGGACACCGGGTAATTAGCAGGGTTACCCAGATACTCCAGCACCTCTTTCCCGTCGCCCATGAACTTGCCGTTCACGTCTATGCCATTGATGGCCAGCACTGCGTGGCCCACTGCAGAGTTGAGGCTAAACGTCAGCGAAGCTCCAAGCCAGGGATCCCACCAGGGCCCAGGCGCACCCCAAACCCCATCCCGTATCTCCACACCTGCCCATTTCCGGAGAACCGGGCCCCGCCCCCCAGCCCGCGACTAGCCCACCCCGGATGCCATCGCGCTGTCCGAAGGCAACCAGCACACGTTCATCATGTAGCTTGAGCAGCAGATCCAGCGGGTAACTGAACGTTTTCTCAGCCTCAGCCCGTGGCGCGTAGCTATCCAACTGGTAAATGAGGCCACCAGCTTTATTCACCACATACACGCTAAAAATCGCCATTGCAGCCTCTGCCTCTTAAAAATTGGGTCCGGTTACGAAGTCCCGCCCCGGAACTGCCGTCACAGCACCTGCCCCGGCCAGCACCAGCTTTCTCCTCCTAACCCCCAGCTTGCTACTTGCGGCGCTTGCGCACTCGGGGCTACACGCCTGGGCCTAGCAGTACTGCTGTGCTTCTCGGTGTCTGGATAGCACTTTGCTTCATAATTAGTGGCAGTCCAACAAGCAAGGGGCAGTATCTAGACTGCGCGGCTCAGGCACTGGCGTTCATTTCCCTCATCCCGCCTTTGGCGAGAGGGCAAGAGCGCCGCCACAGGATTTCTTCGCCGTGGCCCCGCCCCTCGCCCCGGAAGTAGTCGCGACGGGCGGAGGTTTCTGGGCCTGTTGGTGAGCAGAGCTTCCTTTTTGTCCGACATCTTGACGAGGCTCCAGTGGCTGTTGCTGCTCTCCAAGCTTAGTGATGGTGAGCTTCGCGGGTGTGAGGGCGGCGAGGTTCTGTGAGGCGGGCGGTGCTGGGACGAAGTGAAGGTGACACTGGGCGGTAGGACTTCTTGCATTACGGGGCTGGGCTTCAGTGCGGGCGCAGGGATTGCTTGCCCCATGTGCTCTGGTTGGAGCAGCGCTGCGAGGTGGGGTGCATTTAGTCGGAGAGCATGGGACTGCCTTAAACCTGCTTGCTTTTCCCCTGCAGCCGCCCAAGGATGACAAGAAGAAGAAAGACGCCGGAAAGTCGGCTAAGAAAGACAAGGACCCAGTGAACAAATCTGGGGGCAAAGCCAAAAAGAAGGTAGGAGTGAACCCTTATTGGGGGCGCCCTCCGTGGCATGCTAGTGGTAAACATAACCTATACTTTCTTTTGTTCATGGTACTGGAGATTGAACCCAGGGCTTACTGCAAGCTGGAGAACCCCTCTTCCACTGAGTCACATCCCCAGTCCTAATAAATGACTAGTGTACCAAGTGGTTTTCTCGGGTTGTGGGTTTTAGAGCCACGTTAATTATGTTTCCATCGTAATTTTTTAAAATTTATTTTTTAGCTGTAGATGGACACAATTTCTTTATTTTTATGTGGTGCTGAGGATTGAACCCAGTGCCTCGCATGTGTGAGGCAAGCACTCTACCGCTGAGCTATAGCTCCAGCCTCCCATCGCCATTTTAAAAAGTTTTTAGACTAGTAAACGTGTATAAAGGGTTTACTCTATTGACTAGTACACGTTGCTTTTTAACATCCTTTGCCCATATTCCACCCCCCCCCCCATATGTGTCTTATTTTTTGCAATCTGCACCTTCATGATGTTAACGGTGGAAGAGATTTCTCTGATCTCTGACGCATGTTGCTGCAAAGGGATAGGTGCTTCTGCCAGAATTTAACTAGTTTTTCTATTTGTCTTTGTGAGCAGAAGTGGTCCAAAGGCAAAGTTCGGGACAAGCTCAACAATCTAGTCTTGTTTGACAAAGCTACTTATGACAAACTCTGTAAGGAAGTTCCCAACTATAAGCTTATTACCCCAGCTGTGGTCTCTGAGAGACTGAAGATTCGAGGTTCCCTGGCCAGGGCAGCCCTTCAGGAGCTCCTCAGTAAAGGTGAGGGATGTGTTTGTAATGGTATGCTTTTAATGGTTGAGTTGTCTTCATGTTAGCCATCTTAAATGCTTTTACTGGAAAAGCAGTTGGAATTAAGGGCAGGAGGAGGCATTAAAATAATAATAATTATAATCAAAGCCATAAGCATTGGCTTTTATTATTATTTTTTTTAATGCTGTGGATCCTATTAATATTATTACTACTTTGGTACTGGGGATTGAACACAGTAGCACTGAATTACATCCCTGGCCCTTTTTATTTTTTTGAGACAGAGTCTCACTAGATTGGTGAGGCTGCCTTTGAACTTGTGGTTCTCCTGCCTCAGCCTCCCATGTAGCTGGAATTAAATGCATGTGTCCCTGTGGCCTGATTCACAATTTAAAAAAAAAGATTCTTGTTAAGAAGACTTTAGAGTAAAGTCATTTTTATCGATGCATTAAGTTGAATGGTAGATTTGAGTGTCGTAATTTTACTTATGGTATGGTATGATAACAAATTAATTATATAGTACATATGGAAGGGGGTGGGGGTATCAGGGATTGAATACCCAGGGGCACTTAACCACTGAGCCACATACCCAGCCCTCATTTATTTTAATTCTTGCTCAGTTGCTGAGGCTGGCTTCAAATCATCTTGCCTCAGCCTCCTAACTAGCTGGAGTTACAGGCATGCGCCACTGGGTTCACCACCTTCTCCCTTTTCATGGTGCTAGAGATTGAATCAGTCTATTGCCTTGCTACCCCACCTCCTCAGAAACAATGGTAAAATTAAGCTATCTTTCCTTCCTAGGACTTATCAAACTGGTTTCAAAGCATAGAGCTCAAGTAATTTATACCAGAAATACCAAGGGTGGAGATGCCCCAGCTGCTGGTGAAGATGCATGAACAGGTAAGCAGGAACACAGGGTTTTGTGGCAAAGGAAGTATACATTCCGTTTCCTTTACAAGGCTCTGATTCTGATTTCTCTTAACTTTTTTCTTTTTACAGGTCCAATCAACTGTACATTTGAAAAAATAAAACTTTATTAAAACAAATGAATGGGTATGTCTGTTTTCTAGGAAAGGATTTGGTGGAGGGAATGAAATACTGTGATGAACCTTATGGTGATTGAAGAGTATCTTGAAATTAGCTTTTTTCCTTTTGTTTGTTCCTTACTGCAGCTTCAGTTTTGAATTGATGCCTGAAGGAAGTGAAGGGATACCAGTATGAAGGGTGATAATCTCCAAAGGGGTGGTTAGAGTCATAAGCATTGGATCCATACCTAGACTGCCAGCGGCGTCCATTGTTCCAGACTCTGCCAAAAGAGGGCAGCCATCCAGCACTGGTGCTGGAGCTATGATCAAAATTGGCCCCAACTCTATCTGGGGGCAGTTTCTTCAGTTTCTGTTTTTCCTCTGCAATGATAGGAAATAATTTTGAGTGTGAAGATTTATCAAGAATCTTATGCACTCCGTGAATTAGTTTACTCACTTTCTTTAAGAAATTCTTCATAGGAAGGTCCTATTTGTTGGTTCCCAGGGCTGTGTTCCTCATCTGGGATCATCCAGGGAGGTGTAGCACCTGAAAAAAGAAAACTCAGAAATTTTTGACAGAAACTGAAGTACCTTTTTAAAAAAATCTTCATGCTTTTAGGGAACATGCCCTAACTGTTAGCTCACATAATTAACAACTAGAAATGTTCAAAAATCAGAATTCTGGAGTCCTAAAGGTCCTAGGCTGATTTAAAGTGACATGCCTTAGGTGGAATACACTTAAAAATAGCTCCACCCTCTCATTGCCAGAGCAGAGGATTGAGTCAAGGCCTAGAGCAGGTTACACAAGAGCTCTACACTAAGTTATACCCCCAGTTCCCCACTCCTGCTTTTGCTACACTTGAGACAGGGTTCTCCCCAAGTTGCCCATTCTAGCCTTCAAACTTGTGAATCTCCGGAGTACCTAGGATTACTGGTAGACACCATCGTGGCCAGCTTTTCATATGCCTCTGTTGGGTCTTTTTCTCCTTTTTTTTTTTTTTGGTGCAATTAGAAATTGCTTTACAAACATTGAGCTATGCCCCCCCCCCCGACCTTATTTTTATGTAGACACTCATGCTTTATCTTAATAAATTCTTCAAAAAGGATGTGGGAGGCTATGGCTCAGTGGTAGAGTGCTTGCCTGGCATATGTGAGGCACTGGGTTCAATCCTCAGCACTACATAAAAATAAAGGTTCAACTCCCAGTACCAAAAATTAAATAACTGCCTCGTTTTAGAAAAACTTCCCAGGACCTTACCTGAGTGAATGTTACCAACTCCAGGTGTATCCTGTAGTGGAAATGGAAAAAAGGAAATCCTAGATAAGAAAGCAAAGAGATAGATAATAGGATACTCCTAGCTAGAGACAAAGGAGGTAGATACAACCCCCGCTAAATTGTGCACTCCGGTGATGTTAAACCTGAAAAGTGAGAAGTCACTGGAGTAGTCCTGGCTTGAAGAGGCTTAGGGTTGTGTGTGTGTTGTGCATGAGTTGTTTTTTTTTGGGGGGGGGGAGGATGGTTGGGGATTTAACCTAGGGGTATTCTGCTACTGAGCTACATTCCTAGCCCCCCCACTACTACTTTTTCTTTTTTTTTTTTTTGGTACCGGGGATTGAACTAGGGCACTTGGCCACTGAGCCATATCCCCAGCCCTATTTTTTTGTATTTTATTTAGAGACAGGGTCTCACTACATTGCTTAGTGCCTTGCCATTGCTGAAGCTGGCTTTGAACTCACTACCCTCCTGTCTCAGCCTCCCTAGTCACTGGGATTTCAGGAATGTGCCACCGCACCTGGAACCGACCCCCTCACCCCTGCTTTTTTTCTAAATATTTTTTTAGTTGTAGATGGACATAATACATTTTTTTTTCTTTTTTTAATGTGATGCTGAGGATTGAACCCAGTACCTCCCAGTACCTTGTTGAACACAGTACCTTTTTCAGTTGCTGGGATTATAGGCACAGCAAGATTAATGGTTCTAATGGTAGATGAGTCCAAAAGTGGCATACCTACCACATGCAAAAACCCTGGGCCTCACAGCACACATGTATTACAGATTACATTTGAGGGTCTGTGTGGTACTACATCCATTAATAGAAGAGGCTGGTTCAAATATGCCTGTGAAAAAGTGATGTGAACTAAGGGGTAGAGGAGGGGAAGTCTTAACTAGGTGAGTAGGGGAGGAAAAACAATGGCAGGTGTGGAAGCAGCTCCAGCACAGTTGGGATGCAGGTGATGCAGTGGTTTGGGGGAGGGGAGTACTGCAAAGGGAGTAGAAATTATCCCAAGGGTGAACTGAGGCAGATGTAAAATTGATGGACTAAGGGACAAATTGGAGATGAAAAGAGGGCAAGGATCTGTGTTTACTTGAGTGAAAATACAGTAGAGCAGTAGGGGTTACCTTCAGATGCTTGTGGGATACTGATGTATGAATGGCCTGTACTGAGATGAAACACTAGGGGTTAGCATTTCTTTGGCAATGATGGCAACAGGTGTGGATAAGATCATTCTGAAAGGTGAGAAAAGAGATCTAAGGACACAGAACTAAGAAACAGTGTAATAAAAGGGAAAAGCCTACAAAACAGATGCAAATGGGCCCAGGAGAATAGGCAGAAAAGAAGGCTGTCCTGGGATCTGAGTGGGCATTGGCAGGCTTGTTCGTTGTACCTGATGGCCAATGAATGTCAGAGGCTGTCCTGCTTCCATCCAGTCAAGGTCTGGAACTGGTGGCTGGTCCAAGTATGAGGGTTGCTGTGAGCTGGAAGCTACTTGGCTGAAAGACAAACAGGCTCAGGCTGGCAGATGAGGTCCTTGAGCCACAAGGATGGCAAAGATTAGATCTGTTCCCATTTCCCAGCCAAAAGATTATAGATTGCTCTAAGACGTCTAATACTCAAAAGAGATTCCCAATAATCTTACCTGTTTCTCCCTTTCCAGCTTCCAAGTGCTGAGGAGCTCTCTTCTGGGTCTGGCTCTGCCTGAGGCTGAGTTTGATTCAGGAAAAATAAATGTGTCTAAGGTGCTTAAGAGCCTGCCTAGGCCATGCCCCCATGCTCTAATCCCCAGTATCATGAAGGGTACTGCCCAAATTGCAAACTCCCTCCCAGCCCTGCCCACATCTTCTCCGACTAGACCTGCCCCCTGGTGGACAGGTAAGGAATTCAAGCCAAGCAGATGTGGAATGAAGTCCTTGAGTTGTCTTAGAAGATCTGATTGTTGAAATGCTGGACCTGAGAAAGTGAGGGATCAGTGGATTTGGATTGGATACTGCTCTGGATCCTCCGAGGGAAACCAACCTCTAAGACAGATCTGACCACCTCCTGCCGGCTCTGCTCCACCTCACGAATTTGAGCTGCCATCTGTGGGAGACAGGCTACTTAGACAGGTTTAGGATCATGGGGGAATCCTTCAGAGGTCCTTTAACTTACCTCTTTGATCACTTCATCCTCTTTTTCCTCATAGGAATCCAAACTTTTCACCATGGATTTCTTGAATCTAAAAATAAGGGGAACAACATACACAAAAGGACATATCAGCCCAGAACTCCAGCCCCTACCAGTTGTGGGGATATATAATTTATTTATTTTTTAAAATATTTTTTTAGTTGTAGATGTACATAGTATCTTTACTTACTATGTGGTGCTGAGGATGGAACCCAGGGCCTCACACGAGAGGCAGGCGCTCTACCACTGAGCTACAGCCCCAGCCCCATATTTATATATTTTTTTAAACTTTTATTTGTTTATTGATTGATGGTACTGGGCATTGAACCCAAGGTACTGTGCATAATAGGAAAGTGCTCTACTACTGGGCCACATCCCTATCCCTTTTTATTTTTATTTATTTATTGTACTGGAGATTGAATGCAGGGGTTCTCTACCACTGAGCTACACCCAGCCCTTTTTATTTTTTGAGATGGAGGGAGGTCTCAGTAGGTTGTTGAGACTGGCCTCCAACTTGCTATCTTGCAATGGTCTCCAGAGTTGCTTGGAATAACAGGCAACCACACCATTTTTTCCCCCACTTTTGGTACTGGGTATTGAACCAGGGGCACTTAACCACTGAGCCACAACTCCACCCATTTTTTGTATTTTATTTAGAGACAGTTTAGAGAGTTGCTTAGGGCCTCACTAACTTGCTGACGCTGGCTCTGAACTCACAATCCTCCTGCCTCAGCCTCCTGAGCCACTGGGATTATAGGCATGTGCCATCACACCCAGCTTATTTAAAAATTTTGAGACAGTATCTTGCTAAGTAGCATGAGGCCTTGCCAAATTGCTGGGGCTGGCTTTGAACTCCCAATCCTGCTGCCTTGGGCTCCTGGGTTGCTGGTATTACAGACGTGCACCACCATACCTAATAACACCTGGCTATTTTTGAGACAGGTTTCACTAAGTTGCCTAGGCTGACCTTCAACTTGCCATCTTCCTACTACAGTCTCCCAAGTAGGATTAAAAAAATTTTTTTTTTTTTTTAGCTGTGTTGTTTTCAGTACTGGGAGACCTAGGGGTATTCTAGCACTGAGCTACACCCCCAGCCCCCTTTATTTTGAGATGATCTCACTAAGTTGCTGAAGCTGGTCCCAACCTGTGATCCTCCTGCCTTAGCCACCTGTATCATTAGGATTACAGGCATGTGCCACCACACCTCACAATTTTTGAGAATTTTCAAATTCAAAAACAAAAGAAAGTACAATAAACACCCCTACATCTCTCACCCAGATTCACTGTTAACATTTTGCCATACAGCTCTGCCTTTGTTTTTTTTTTTCCTTGATACCAGGGATTGAACCCAGGGATGTTTAACCTGGGTTTAACCTCTTATCCACATTTTGAGACTGGGTCTCACTAAATTGAGGCTGGCTTTGAACTTGCAACTCTCCTGCCTCAGCCTCCCCAGCCATTGAGATTACAGGTCTGTGCCATCATGCCTGGCTTTGGCTCCACTTCTTTTACACACACCCAAATACCCTTCTTTTCTTTTTTTAAAAAATTTTTTCATTTATTCTTTTTGGTTATACATGACAGTAGAATGTATTTTGACATATTATACATACATGGAACGTAACTTCCCATTCTTGTGGTTGTACATGATGTGTAGTTACACTGGTCATGTATTCATACATGTATAGCAAAGTTATGTCTGATTCAGTCTACTGTCTTTCCTATTTCCATCCCTCTCCATTCTCTTCATTTCCCTTTGTCTAATCCAATGAACTTCTATTTTTCCCCACTCCTCCTTAAGCATCTGCCTATCAGCCTTTGGTTTTTTGATACCCTTCTTTTCTGCCAAAACAAAAAATAGGTTTAGATATGACTCTTAACCCTAAATATTTCAGGATGCATCTCTAAGAACAGGAACATTCTTTTGAACCACATACCATTACTCCACTTAAGAAAATCAATTATTCTTTTGGATGTTCAAATTGTCCCATATTTGGCTAGTAAGTATAGAAATATATTCATAGTTCCCCACCATTTCAAAAATATGCTTTATAACTTCTCCTAACTCTAAAACCCCAAGACTGAGTGAAAGGTCAAATATGGAATTTGGCTACCATAAAAACAAGAACAAAAAGCTCTCACTTATCTAGGTCTCTCTAGTCCTCCTGTTTCCCTCTGTGGTTAACTCAGAGGTACTCTACCAAATGAACTACACAACCTACACCACCCCTTTAAAAAACTTTTTAAATTAATTTATTTATTATCAATATATATATTTTTGGTACTGGGGATTGAACTCAAGGGCGCTTTACCACTGATATTCCCAGCCCTTTGTGTCTTTTATTTTGAGACAGGGTCTTGCTAAGTTGCCCAGGCTGTTCTCAAACTTGTGATCCTCCTGCCTCAGCTTCCGAAGTTGCTGGGATTATAGGTATGCAACTATCATACACATCTGCAGTTGTTTTTTCCTATAACACACAAAAAAATTTCACAGTAATATCAAGACCACTATCAACAGTGCCCTGGCATTCTAGCATTTATCCATAAAGGCAATGTGTTTAACCAGTGCTTAGCAGAGTCTTGGCTGAAGGGCTTGTATGACTCTCCTAGTATATGAGAGAATGAGAAGTCTAAGAAACTATAATGAGGCCATCTCCCACTTGCCATCTTATCTTCCCTGAAAGGTTGGATGATGAGACAGTTTTTCATTGAGTTCTAGACTCTAATGAGGCATGGGGCTTTCTGAACCACTCTGAGATTACAGCTGATTATAAAACCACTTAGCTCGGGTGGAATGTGCTTAACATGCACAATGTCCTGGGTTCAATTCCCAGCTCCAAAAAAGTAAATAAACCACTTTTAAAAATTTGTCACTATCAGGTTGTGGTTCAGTGGTAGAGTGCTTGCCTAGTATGTGTAAGGCACTGGGTTTGATTCTCAACACTGCATATAAATAAATAAAATAAAGGTCCATTGACAACTAAAAAAAAAAAAAAAAAACTCACTATAAACAAACTTTTAAAATAAAACAAAAAAGTGGGTATAGTGGTGTACCCCTGTAATCCTGGCTACTTGGGAGGCTGAAGCAGGACCACTGCAAGTTCAAGGCCAGTTTGGGTAATTTATTGAGACTCTGTCTCAAAAAAAGGGCTAGGGATGTAGCTCAGTGGTAGAATGCTTGCCTAGCAGTCACAAGACCCAGGATTCGATTCCCAGTACCACAAAAATAAGAATAAAAAGCTCTCACTTATCTACAGTCTAGACTTGGCAACAGTATGTTCCACAACTCACACTGCAGCTGTCTATCCTTTGTTTCAACGTGGTACTTTTTATTTTATTTTTTATATTTATTTTCAGTTTTCAGTGGACACAACATCTTTATTTTATTTTATTTGGTGCTGAGGATCGAACCCAGTGCCCCGCGCATGTCAGGCGAGCCCGTTACCGCTTGAGCCACATCTCCAGCCCAAAACGTGGTACTTTTTAGTGTGTGGGACAAGGACCTAGGAAGCTGACATATGTAAATAATAAATTGCCAAATCTATACATGGCTATTTGTATCTTTATCAATCAAATTAGTTAAGCCTTGGCCTTGCCTTGTGGTGTGTGTGACTCTGAAAATTTATAAGGTTCCAAAATTGAAACTTATTTTAAAAAGTTTATATAGACACTTTGTTTATACTCCTGTTACCGCTACACTGTTCCATGGACCCACTAGAGGTAATCAGTTTTGTTGGTTTATTAATTATTCTTTTTGAAAAAATAAGCAAATACTTAATGAGGGGGATATGTTCTGAGAATTGGGCCATTAGGCAATTTTGTTGATGTGCAAGTTTCATAGGGTATACTTATACAAACTAAAATAGTAACGAGGCATTAGGCAATATACTCTTATGGGACCATCTTTGTAGATGTGGTCTATTGATGGAAATGTTATATGGTGCATGACAATATGTATTTTTATTTTCTTTCTTATATAAAAGAAACATAATATAGGATTTTTAAAATAAAAATTTAAAAAGGACTGGGGATGTAGTTCTGTGTTGCAATGCCCCTGGATTCAATCCCCAGTACCACAAAACAAAACAAAACAAAACAGCAAAAAATCTACATAATATATACATTCATTTATATCCTGCTTTATTCACTTAAAATATTCTGGAATTCTGGAAATCATTCCATGTTAGTTCAAAGAGTACATCCAAGTAATTCTCAATTTCAACTTTCTACCCAACTACCTTTTATTTACTTATCAAAAATCACATAAATTCAGGTCAGGGTGTGAGAAGTAAGTGCTTTTTCTCTGCAGTTTCCTACCTCCTCCCAATTTGAACCACAGATCTGAGGATAAGGTAGTAGGATCCAGGCATTTCTTATGGTCCCCTTATTATTCTCCATAGTGTCAACATAAGAATAAGGAGGTTTTTCTATAAACTCTTGACTCTGACATCCCCTTAGGTCCCACACCTCATAATCTTGGCATGGTCCCAATTAAAAGTTTACTTTCCCAAAGCAGTTCAGGGCTCCCTCCCTCTGAACTGACCATCTTCCTGCATACCAGTTTCTCAGGGCACTCCATAATATAGAAAATAGAGTCTAAAATTATTCAAAGTAGGCACTGGGTGGGCCCTAGTTATTGCACACAATGAATAGCCTCTTCCATTCCTAAAGAATTTTAGTATTCTCTGTGCCCCACATTTATGGAGTTGATTATAGTCAATTTTTATTTTATACTCTCTATTTGCTAACTCCCATCCTCCAACTAGATTTTTTTTTTTTGGTACTGGGGATTGAACTTGGCACTCAACCACTGAGCGACATCCTCAGCCCCAATTTCGTATTTTATTTAAAGACAGGTTCTCACTGAGATGCTTAGTGCCTTGACTTTGCTAAGGCTGGCTTTGAACTCCCGATCCTCCTGTCTCAGCCTCCCAAGCCACTGGGATCACACCCATGCACTACCATATTGGCTTTTTTTTCTTCCTTCAAGAGATGGGGTCTATCTATATTACCCAGCCTGGTCTCAAACTTCTGGGCCCAAGTGATCCTCTGGCCTCAGGCTCTTGAGTAGCTGAGACCACAGGTGTTCACTACTGTGGCCATCACATTTTTCTGTGTTCACTTACAGTAATAAGTGCTATGAAGACAGCACATGCTTGTGCAATCCTTGCTGAACTTTCCAATATAAAATGCTCAAATCCAGATCCAGAACACAGATTCAGAGATCTTAACTCTGTTATTTCATCTCATAACCAGTGACTTATGTGCAAGTGACTTACCGTGCATAATCCTGTGGGGAGATCAGAAACTTCTCTTTCATCTGGACTTCAGCCTTGTTCTCCCACCAGAATTTGTTAGTTGCTTTCTTGTGCTCTGGGCTGAGAATGGATAGGATGGTTAATCTCAAGTATAGATTATAAAATAGTATTATGGTATCTAAGCATTAGGTAAGGACTCAAATTGCATCTGGTTTCTGCCTTGGGCAAGGCAGAGAGAGGAATATTATTACCACTCTTCAAGACCTTCAGTCTCCTTTCCCCCCAATAAAGTTGTGAAGTGATGGGCGGTGAGCACGCTGGATTTCCCAGCTAGACCACCCACATTATTGGCATCATGACAGCCATTAGAACCCTCTCTATTCCCAAGGTTGGTTATACCTGTGACTCAATCTACCTACCCCGATCAAATCACAAAGTGTCCTTCCTCTTCCCGACCTACACACGTATACATATATGCCAGAAAAGGCGCCCAGCCTGGCTCTCACCTGGCCAGATGCTCCAGCAGACCCCCATGCAGCACTGTCAGGTTTCCGTGGCTCAGGTGTTTCTGCACCTCACAGCTGCAACACAGGCACCAGCAACAGCGGTCGTGCTCGGGCACGTAACGCTCCACCTGAGCCCCGCGGACGGCCTTCCGGGCGGCCTCCACCTAAGGAGAACAGGCCAGGTAGGACCCCGAGGAAGACGCCCAAATCGCAGCCCCTCGGCCCTCGCGGCAGTGGCCCTCATCCCTCCAGCTCCACATCCGCACCTGGGGCAGGAGACGCTCCAAAGCTGCCTTCAGCTGTCGCTGGTGCTTGCGGCTGTAGACGTGTCCGCGACCACAGAAGAAGGTTTGGCGGCACAGAGGGCAGCGCTGCGGTGGCGCCATGGGCCCAGGACCTGGGAACTCCTAGGATCTCGAAGGATCTTGAAGCAGATCCTTCGCCATTCGCTGACCTCCGACCCTTGACCTCTCGGGGCGGGACGAACCCAGAGGCTCCTGAGACCTCTAGCGGCCGGCAAGCGCCACTGCAAATCGTGCTGCGGTTGCGCAGACTGTTCTTCCCGCAGTGCAACCTAGCGGAGTCAACACAACATCCCCAGATGCGGTGAGGCCAATGAAAGAGCCCCCACTACTGTGCGGCCAATGAAAGAGCCTAGCACCACCGTGCAGGTGCGCGGGAAAGAATGCACGCCAGTTAGGACCACAGACGACATTCATTTCGAACCAAATCCTAATTGATATTTACAGGTTGCACAGAGTGTATCCTAGGCTTTGCATTAGTTATTTCACTGAATCCTCCCACTAACCCTGTGTGGTGTGTCATTACTGGCATTTTACCAGTGGGAAAGCTGAGGCACGTAGAAGGTAAGGAACTCTGTGAATGGATTCAGAGAAAATGAGATTAGGGAGGAGAGATCTGGAAGGAGAAGATCAGAGAGGAGAAATTTGGGGAAAAGAATATCAGGGAGGAGAAGCTTAGGAAAAGATGATTTGGAAAAAGAAAAAAACACGTTAAGTTTCAAAGCCACAAGGGATGTAGTCAAAGCATCAAGCGAACCCCTGTTGCACTGCTTCCCTAAAACTTAGACCATAAGGTGAATTGTCCTTCCACAATCCTGAAATCTCCATTCTAGAGCTCCCTGACAAAGCCTGGGAAATTAGCCCAGACCTTACTTATAGGATAAAGAGCCAGAGCTGGCCCAGTGTCCCAGATTTCTCTTAGATTTTGTTATTGGTACTGGTGCACTAACCTGGATGGACAGCCATGCCTGTGGGGCTGCACACGGTCAATTCTATAGAAGTCAGGCCCAGAAAATAGCCAGGGTCCCCTGTGGATCTTGCCTCCTTGTTGGAGCTGCCCTCTAAACTGCAGTTTCTGCCAGATGTGATTCTTTTTTGTTTGTTTTGTTTCGTTTTCCTTTTGGTGCTGGGGATTGAAACCAGGCCTTGAACCTGGAAAGCATGAGTCCTTCTGCTGATTCGTTTTGGTGACCTCTGTAACAAGATTTTTGAGCTCCCATCATTCCTTTGGCAGGTTCAATCCTGAATCTTGTCCACCAAAATTGCTCCTTCTCTGAATCCAAACTCTGAAGTTCTATTCCGATTACACCTTCTATCCTCTCATGTGGACTTATCTTCATCCTGGACTTTAACTATAGGGAGATCTCCATTCCTGAAGAAGACTCCTCATCCTTTCATTCAGAAAATTATTTAACATCTACCTGCTGCCAGGTGCTTTATTCTAGGTGGTGATTTTCAAAGTGTGTCCCCCAGGCCCACAGCTTTTTAGCAATGCAGGTTCTTCCCCCCCACACACAGTACTTACAGAATCAGAATCTGGGGGGTGTAAGCCCAGCCCTTCAGGGGATTCTGATGTCTGCTCAAGTTTGAGAAGCACTGGACTAGCTCTTAGGTCCTCTTGTCTTTACTTTATCCACTGTATCCCAAGGATTTGTTTTTGCTTTTAGTACCAGGGATTGAACCCAGGGCTCTTAACCACTAAGTCACATCCCCAGCCCTTTTATTTTTATTTTTTAAATTTTTTAAAATTTTGGGATAGTGTCTTGCTAAGTTGCTTAGAGCCTTGCTAAGTTTCTGAGGCTGGCTCTGAACGTGTGATCCTCCTGCATCAGCCTCCCAAGCCACCAGGATTACAGGTGTACACCACTGCCCCAGGCCCCAGGGACACTTTAATGCCACTTTCAAGACAATTTTTTTGTGTTTTCTTTTTTTGGGAGGCAGGTAATGGGGATTGAACTCAGGGGCACTCTAACACTGCTACATCTACCACTGCTACATCTCCAGTCCTTTTTATTTTTTATTTTGAGACAGAGTTCTCACTAAAATGCTGTGGGCTTCCCTAAGTTGCAGTACCTGGCCTCAAAGTTATGATCCTCCTGAGTCACTGGATTATAAACATGAGTTACTGCACCTGGCTCAAGGCAACTTTTTACTTACCCTTCCAAGACCTCTCATTCTGTCAAACCTCAACCCTCCATCAACTCAGGCATATGTTTCCATCATTTGTTCCAAAACTGCTCAGGCTATGAGTGTAGCTCAGTGGTACAACACTTGTCTAACATTCATGAGGTTCTAGATTTGTTCCTCTGCACAGCAGAGCTGCTCAGAGTAATCTACAAAATCTGCTTTGACTACTAGCCCCCTGAAATTTGGCTTATAAAAAAGTCCTTAAAGTTCTCCACCACTAAGTGTGCAGCTGCCATTTGAATTTGGCCTGTGTGAAATGGAACTTAACACCATCCTCTTCATGTCATTCTCTAGTTAATCCTCCCAGTGAATGATACCACCAAGCTAAAGCCTGGAGGTTTGGGGTGAGTTATCCTAGACACACACTTTTTCTCAACCCCCACATCCAAGCTCATATTCATTGGATTTCTGAAATGTTTAAAGCCTAATTGGACACTGTGTTGCATGCCTGCAATCTCAGTGACTCAGGAGGCTGAGACAGTAGGATCGTGAGTTCAAAGCCAGCCTCAGCAACTAAGCAAGGTCCTAAATCCTAAACAACCCAGTGAGACCCTGTCTCTAAATAAAAGGCTGGGGATGTGGCTCAGTGGTTAAGTGACCCTGAGTTTAATCCCTTATAACCCCAAAGTTTAAAGCCTCTCTTTTTCCCCCCAGAATTGGGGATTGAACCCAGGAGTGCTTTACCACTGAGAGCTATATCTCTAGTCTCCCCTCCCTTTTTTTTTTTTTTTTTTTAATCAACTGGTATTTGAAACAGGGTTTTGCTAAGTTGCTAAGGCTGGCATTGAAATTGTGATCCTCCTGCCTCGATTCCCAGGTCACTGGTATTACAGGTGTGCCACTGCACCTGACCTATCTTCCATTTTGTTAATACTGAGAGCATACTTCGTTTCATTTCCCTTCCTTTTTTGCTGAGATTTATGTAAACTCATCCTAACTCGTTTCGAAGTGTCTGGTTGATTCCAGCTCCACTTACCTACCACACTCCAGGCTTAAGAAAGTCCTCCAAATTACACTCATGATTAGTTTTATACCTCTCGATTGCCTTCAGGACAAACCTAAACCTCCTCAGCATTCCTCAGCATGTCATTCAAAGGCTCCTACCACAGGGTTCCCAACTTCCTTGGCTCTCCTCTTCTCTTTCTCTGACCTCCAATACCTCTCTTCCCGGAAGCATTCCAAGTTCTATTGCTTCTATGCTCTTTAGCATCCCGGTCCTCAGTGCCCTCTGCCTGGAATTTACTTCTTTCCAGTGCTGCCTCATTAAATCTTTCTTTTCTATAAGCCCCTGAACTAGAATGAGTAATTTCGTGAACCTAGTGGCTTTTTCTGGTACATGGTAATCTCAATCAAAATTTACTAAAGAATAACATGTTATCCCTTTTTGTACAGCTTTCCAGAGTTGTGTTGTTGTTGTTGCTATATTATTATTATTATTATTATGCTGGGGATTGAACCCAGGCCCTCACACATGCTAGGCAAGTACTTGACCAATGATTTATACCGTGGTCCCGGAAGTGATTTATTGATTCCACTGTACCACTGAGCTACAACCCCAGCCCATTAAAATAATTTGTTATGAAAAAAAAACCAAACTGTACAGAGACTCTACATAAAAGTGATGGTCCCTTATTTCTCTTTCCCACCCAGTCCTCAAAGATGGCTACTGCTGTTTCATGTCTGTATTTTTCAAGACCTGGTCTATGCTTAGACAACATTTTTATATCTTTGAACATAATTTCTATCACATTTGAACACACTATTCTGCTATCCCTTAAAATATATTTTGGATATTTTTCTATATCAGTATAGAGCACGATATTAAATACTGTCTATATGCCAATGACTGTCATTAAAATTGTATAGTCAGCTCTCTGTATCCATGAATCTGTGAATTTGACCAATGGCAGATCAAAAATATTCAGGGTGCTAGGGCTATAGCTCAGTGGTACAGTTCACACTGAGCATGCATGACACCCTGGGTTCAATCCCCAGCAACAATAAATAAATAAATACATATATATATATTCAGAAAAAAATTGTATGTTCCTGAACTTGTACAGACATTTTTGTTGTCATTCCCTAACAATACAGTACAACTATTTACATAGCATTTACATTATATTAGGTCTTACAAATAATCTAGAGATGATTTAAAGTATCTAGAAGGATTGGGTAGGTTACATGTAAATAGGCCATGTCATATAAGGGACTTGAGATTCTCCAGATTTTGGTCTCTGCATGCAGTCCCCAGAACCAGTGCCCCAGGGATCCTGAAGGCTGATTGTATTTACATTTTCAGCTCAGAATTCTCCTCTGAACTCTGCCCTATAACAACTATCTACCTGACGTAACCACCCTGATGTCTCACAGATTCCAGCCACAGAACTGCTCAAACCTGCTGCTCCCACAGGCTCCCTGTCCCCACCACCATGCAGGTGCTCGAGCCGACAACCTCAGAGTCATTCTTGTGGTCTCCTTCTGCATGCAGTCAACCCAGGGACTAGAAAAAAACTAGTTGGTTGCGTTGCTGTGCTTCTCTCCATCTCTGCTGCCACTGCCCCAGTCCCCTGGATTACTTCCTGCGTCCACCTTTGCTCCCCATGCTTGAAGTGATTAACTGTGAGAGCAACTTGTTGGCATCACAAAACAGGTTATGTTAGTTATTTCAGTTACTTTCTACTCTGCTTCTGAAAAAAAAAAAAATCAAACAAATTTTTATCATAACCTAGAAAAAAACTACAAGATCCAGTCCCTTTCCACCTTTCCCAGCTTCGCCTTGGATCTTTCTCCCCTTGCTTTCTATGTTCTGTCCTCCACAGTCTTATCAGTAGATCAGAGAATTGTCCAGCACAGTGGCAGGCACTTATAGTCCTGGCTACCTGGGAGGCTAAGGCAGGAGGATTGCTTGAGCTTAGGAGTTCAAGGCCAGCCTAGGCAACATAGTGAGACTCTGACTCTACTAGAACACGTTTTCTTTTTGTTCTTCA